CCCCCCCCCCCCCCATTGTTCTTGAACCTCTAGCCATGTGAGGAGCTTTAGCGCGGCTAGGGTATATCCATGATAGCTATTATTCTTTCCCTTTCTTTTGGTTTGCTTTGTAAATTCTTTGAAAACTTTTGAGGTACTGCAAATACGGTTGAAGTGTGTAGTTTTTGCTATTTCTGCGTATAGCTTATAGTGACTGCAATATTCTTTGAGATCCACTTGAAACTATGATATTGAGGGTGTGAATATTATAAATACAAAAATTGGAGGTTTAGGGAACAAGTTGATTTTGTTTCCCTATGGATATATTGATATCATTTTATTGTTTTGTGCTTGGTTTGATTCAAACGTTTGTAATAATCATAGTATATTATTGTGAAATCCCATGTCGGTTGGAGAGGGGAACGAAACATTTCTTATAAGGGTGTGAAAATCTCTCCTAACATATGCGTTCTAAAACCTTGAGGGGAAGTCCGAAAGGGAAAGCCCAAAGAGGACAATATCTGTTAGCGGTAGGGCTTGTTGGGCTGTTACAAATGGTATCAGAGCTCGTCACCGAATGGTGTGCTAGTAAGGACGCTAAGTCCCCAAGGAGGGTGGATCATGAGATCCCACATTAGTTGGAAACGAAACATTTCTTATAAGGGTGTGGAAACCTCTCTCCAGCAGACGCGTTCTAAAATCTTGAGGGGAAGCCTGGAAGGGAAAGTCCAAAGAGGACAATATTAGCTAGTGGTGAACTTGGACGGTATCTTTTGTTAATATTTCTTGGCATAGATATATGTTTTTTCTAATTGAGCCTTTTCTATCTAGCATAAGCTCTCTCTCTCAATGCTGATATCTTTTACCAATCTTCTCTTCTTAAGCCTTCGGATGGGCTGCTATTTGTTGTGGAGCTATTTCGTTAGGGGTATATATGGTCCAGGTTGGATTGGGTTAGGTTGAAAGATTTTTTTTTTTACCAAACCCAAAAATTTGGATTGGCTGGATTGGTAACCCAACCTAACCCGAAAATTTTCTCAACCCAACCCTACCCTCTATTTTCGGGTTGGGTTGTGAGATTGTTAAGAAAAGAAAATTTAAAAAGTTTTATTAATTTATAATTCATAATTATTCCAAACAAATTTAAAAAGTTTTATTAACCCCATAGACCACATAAAAGTTTATTGAACTTAAGGAATGATGGTTGTGTTATTTCTTTGCATGCCTTGCTCGTCGTTCATGTTGGATTCGAGTTTTCAGGTCTCATTTTACTTTTATTAAAAACAAAAACTTGAATAAATAACCCGAACAAATCGAACCAACCCAAAGGAAATAAAAAATGATATATTATATTTAAAAAATCTTCCCAATTTTTATAAATGTTTAAAATGGATGGAAAATGTTAAAATTTTATCATTTATTAGCTTTTTCTAAACTCATTTTAGGTAAAATAAAGAGTATATGGTCGAGTTCAAATCCTTAAAGAATTGGGGCAGGTTCGATTGTGTCAGGATGGTAACCAAAACAACCCGATTAGAGTTCACAACCTAACCGTACTATTGTAAACTGAACAAACATGTCATCTTTTAGTTTATTACGGTTGGTTAATCTCCACGAACTCAACATACATAACCATAACTCTTCCGTGTAGCTTTAAGAAGAAAAAAAACTTTATAGTCCTATTACGTCAAAATAATTGAAATTATATCAATCCTCTTTGTATCATTAAAAAAAAAATAAACGAGAAAACTCGATTATAAAAATATTGCTAATTCAACTCTTTAACAACACACAGCTTATCGAGCCACTATAAAGTTTATAAATTCATAAAAATAATGCAAAATACAAAGGGAACTAACCATGGGTCAATCAAGATGTATGAGTACCTGGGATTTAGCTGACCGGTTCAACACTAAACTTTGATTATGCTATTCGAAAAAGAATATCGGCTCTAACAATCCATCTCCGTCTACAAAAACAATAGGAAATGTTTTAGAAAAGGTCAACATACAACATACAAAAGTCTCTATCAATTGAAGCTAACTCCATTGAATGCATCATAGAACTCAATAGTTACGCTGACCTGTTCAATACTAAACTTTAATTATACTATTCGAAAAAGAACATCGGCTCTAACAATCCATCTCCGTCTACAAAAACAACAGGAAATGTTTCACAAAAGATCAACATACAACATACAAAAGTCTCTACCAGTTGAAGCTACCACTTCTAGGATCTCAGCTCAAACACATCAGTTATGTCTCATTGTTGCAAGATCAATGACGAACTCCATTGAGTGCATCATAGAACTCAATAGTTACGTTTACCTATTCAACACTAAACTTTAATTATGCTATTCGAAAAAGAACATCGGCTCTAACAATCTATCTCCGTCTACAAAAACAATAGAAAATATTTCAGAAAAAGTCAACATACAACATACAAAAGTCTCTATCAATTGAAGCTACCACTCCTAGGATCTCACAGCTCAAACACATCAGTTATGTCTCATAGTTGCAAAATCAATGACGAACTCCATTGAGTACACCATAAAACTCAATAGTTACGCTGACCTGTTCAACACTACACTTTGATTATGCTATTCGAAAAAAAACATCAGCTCTAACAATCTATCTCCGTCTACAAAAACAATAGGAAATGTTTCAGAAAAGGTCAACACACAACATATAAAAGTCTCTGTCAATTGAAGCTACCACTCCTAGGATCTCAGCTCAAACACAAGTTTATATAAGTGCAATTGGGGCTCAACAAGACACATCTAGAGATTTCATGCATTATTAGCAAACTGAGTTGATATTTGAAGAATCCCACTCGATTACGGCAGTCAAAAGAGTACTGAGATATCTAAAAGAGTACTGAGATATCTAAAAGAAACTTCAAAACATGGTTTATGCAAACCTAAATAATGTGATTCTCAAATTATAGCATATTTATGCAGATTGGGGTTGAAGCCTTTATGACCGGTGTGTTAGGAACCCCAACCTCTACAATGGTATGATATTGTCCACTTTAAGCATAAAGTTCTCGTAGTTTTGCTTTTGGTTTTCTCGAAAGACCTCATTTTCTCTCTCTTTCCCTTTCTAACATTGCCAAATAATTTCTTGCTCACATGACAAATTGGTTTGTATTCATCAAGGTGACCAAGCCATGACTTCCACACAAGGTAGCTAACTGTCCCTAGAATTTAATTGAAAAATGCACACTTTCTTTCTCAGATTATGAAGTAAACAAAGAACTTGAACCCAAACTTATCTTCCTTCCTTCCTTTCCAACAATTCTTCGCTTTCCTATTATCTATTCGAACATATAGTCTTTTATTTACCATTAAGTAGATCTTTTTCTTATTAAAGAAAGGATATCATCTCATTTAATTCGTCAAGGAAACCTATAGACCGTTCTAAAAATGTACCATATTTCTATCGTGATAATTTATTGTTGAGATTAAAAAGTCTGGGTCAGCCTTGAGTTTCCTTATATCTTTGAGCTTTATCTTCTTATGGTCAACAAGTCTTGACATAATCAACATTGTTCCTTTAAGGTTGTATCTTAGATGTTCCTTTTGTTTCTTTTTGTACAAAAGGGGTTCTAAGGGTCTTAAGTTCTTCTTGGTGTTGTACTTAATCCTTGTAACTACCCTTGGCCTTCCTTAATCCTTGTACTCTTGAGCCTCCACTCGTCCCTAAACATTGCCCACATTTTCTTATTTGTGGATGAAGCTTGCAACGAACTAGAAACCTACAGAATAGTGCTGATTTAAACTTGTAACTACCCTTGGCCTTCCTTAATCCTTGTACTCTTGAGCCTCCACTCTTGTCCCTAAATGTTGCCCACATTTTCTTATTTGTGGATGAAGCTTGCAACGAACTAGAAACCTACAGAATAGTGCTGATTTAAACTTGAAACTTCTAGAAGGTCCATTGGAAAAATCTACTTCGATGAAGATGTTTCCGACGTCATTTTTCAACATCAGCCATTAGATTTGAACATATATGAGTCTTCTAGATCATATCCAAATTTGGGACAAATCCAATAGTTGAATCTATGAGATATGAAAGATTTTGTCCAGATGACCCCTGCTGTAAACCAATCTGGAAAGATTTCTAGTCAGGGGCATTTTTGTATATAATTGGAAGCTTGGGGTATTTCGGTAATTTGCCACCTTTTGAATTTTTTATTCTGAAAATCCAAACACTTTCCAAAAACTATTTACCATTTTTGGTCATTTTTCCCTTAGGCTTGGATGCTGCTTGTAACACATTGAATCTCTTCCTTGGACCCCTTAGCCTTCTTTTGGTCTCTTAATCTTTTTTTTTTTTTTGATCCCTTAAATCTTTCTTGCACACCTTACCTCTTGAGAACTTTCGTCCTTGAAAGTTCACTGTTTTTACCTTGTCTTAGAGTACTTGTCCTCAGTTATGTCCTTCCAAGTTTTTTGAAGGTCCTTTTATAAGTTTGAACTTCTCCAACATATCCTTATAATTTTCCCTCGTGGCCTTTAGTTCTTAACTTATGCTTTAAGTCATTTGCCCCCTTTGACTGCCTTCTCAATATCTTTTATTGAGATTGACAAGTCTTCCTTGGTCATCCGTTTGTTTCCTTATATCTTAGAGCTTATCTTATTCTTTATGTTCAACAAACTTTGACATAATGAACGTTGTTCCTTCAAGGTTGTATCTTAGAGGTTCATTTTGTTCCTTTTTGTACCAGGCGGGTTCTTAGGGTCTTAAGTTCTTTTCTTGGTGTTACAACCTTTTTACCTTTTAAGTTAACTATTTCCTGTCCAAACCTTTTCCATCCCTATCAAACCGTGCTAGGGCATTGAGAATCTCTTTTTTGGGTCGCCTTACTCGAGTGTCTTAACCTTACTTGAAGTCTTGCAAATTCTCCCCTTCGTTAGAACATTCCAAGTTTCCTAGAGGATCCTTTTATAGGGTTTTCATTCTTTGACATGTCCCTTTTATATAGGGTTTTCATTCTTTGATATGTCCTTATTATCTACCATTTTGGCCTTTAGTTCTTAACTTATGCCTTAAATTTAATTGTTCTAGCATTTGCCCCTTTTTCTTGGTTGAGATTGACCAGTTTTCCTTTGTCATTTTTGCATTTCCTCATATCTTAGAGTTTATCTTCTTCCTTATGTTCAACATGCCTTGACATAATAACCGTAGTTCTTTTAATCCTTCTTGTACAAGGCGGGTTCTTAGGGTCTTAAGTTCTTCTTTCCTTGGTGTTACAAGGTCTTCCTTAATCCTTATAACCACCCTTGTACTCTCTAGCCT